AGCCAGACCAGACTGGTCTGCGGAGTAAGAGCTAAAAAGAGAGATAATAATCGCCGCACATAGCTACATGCCAACTTAGTAACATCAGAGGTTTATCTGGCTACTTGGCTTTGGCACCTAAAGGGCTAGTTCAGCACCCATGGAGGACACAAATGACCAACCGTGAGACTTATATTAGTCTAGGATTAACGTGTTACCGTCCAAAGTGTCATCCCTGCATAAACAGCTGGAAATGGTGCGTATAAATAACAAAATATATTTGCGAACTCTTTGAGGTAAACGACAAACAAAAATTGTGCAAAACTCACCATTTTTGACTTTTTCAAGATTACTTGCATCAACAAAATCAACGGTAACATTGAAACTATCAATGACTCTTCTAAAATACCTAGATTATAGAAATTATTCTCACAAACCTCTTCGTGGCAAATGTGTCCACCTATCAGATTTGAGGGTAACAGGTGTGAAAAGATAGGGAACCATTGATGTACAAGTTGTTTATACACATATTAGCGCCTAATTGAGTTTGTATATACCTATTCGTTCCTCCATAGAGATCATTCATAGCTAGTATTCTGCTCCCAGATCGTAGTACTGCAGTCGCTACAGTAGAAGTAGCTGCCATACCGGAAGAGTAGACATATGCATATTTAGCATTCTCTAGTTTAGCTAGACAGGTCTGCAGAGATGTACGAGTTGGATTGCCCCCTCGGGTATAGTCGTAGCCTCCCTCTGGATCTCCTAGAAGATGAAAGATTCATTAATCATACACTTTATTCCGGTTATAAGAACACCCTTGGGAGTAGCAATACAGGTTCATATAACCGGAATAATATACAGGAATATATGAGTACCGTTTTCCATGGGATGGTGCTTTTATCCGGCAAAACAATACCCGAATGTACCCACTTAAAATACATATTTTCTGAACTTACCTGGAGCGTGTTGCTTGAATGTCGTTGCAGTGAAAATTGGAGGCATTACAGCCTTGCAATTCCATTGGTCAGGGCCATGTCCTGCGTGAATAGCATTGGTACCAAAATGTTTCATAAATTCGGGCACATTTTCTGATTGATTGGACGACATGCAGCTGTGTAGTTACAAGGATGGTGAATAGGAATTTGGCTAGAATATTTAGGACAATTCGGTTAATTCATTTCTTGCCTCCCTCAGGGGTTTGGCGCCTATATTATATCGGCCTCAATTTGGGAGGGCGAAACATATACGCACACATTTTAGCAATTTTTAAGTTTTGTAATATGATTAACAATATGAATAAATTGACACTTGAGTGATCTAAGAATTAGCCTACAACTTAACAGCTGATATATTACTGTAAATTCTCAGACGTGATAGAATTTATTTCTTGTGATTTTTTGGTTCGGACGAGAGCCCCGTAATCTTCTGCAGGTGAAATTGGAAGTGAAGATAGAGATAGTTGCAGATTATCACACCTTTTGTTAGTGCCATTTTTAGTTTCCAAGGTGTTACAAGTTAGACTAGGATTAGTTATATGTTTGAATTCTATCTCCAAATCATCTCCAGTTAGTCTCTGCTTATGCTAAAAGAAGACAATTCGATTGTAGGAGTTCCCAACCTTTGCACCTGTGGACACCCCTCCAAAGTACTGCGATACAAATTTTCAGCTCATGTGGACCCATTAGTGTCGTCCGTGGACTATCAAATGATATATGGACCACAGGTTGGGAACTGTTGTTGTTTTATCCCTCACCACCCTGTCCGCACTGAATATACACTTTGCCCCAGGTGTATGGATATGGATTCATACACTATACTTGTGGATTTGACACCACTTAACACGGGACAGGGGTGAGGTTATTGAGAAGTGACAATCCCTATCTTCACGCCTAACTGGAGGAGAGGGGAAGACACAAAAAGACAGGATTACCTTTCTATCCGTACAAGGAAGTAAAGTATTTTCTCCTTTCCTCTTTTCCTCAGGTTTTGGCGATCTTTTGAAAGCATTTGGCAGTGAATTTAGTGAACTAAATCTCTTATGAATCTTACCAATAGCACTCGGAGCTATTGGTTCTTCTAATGTTCTAATTTTCTTTATTTTAACGCCTTTATCTTTGGATTTTCCTTTCAGACCTAACCCTGATGCCAAACTTGAAATCGCATTCTTTCCAGAGGTGTCTGAGTTGACGTTTACTTGTTTATGTTTGTGCTTAGATATTGTCTTTAGTGTTGGAGTTTCTACAAAACACATTTGAATATTGGTATATGGATGGGACCTCAAGGAGTCGAAATTACCTGTCGTAGAAATATTAACCGGACTGGCGTATAATTCAGGTGAACTATCTGATCTGAGTCTATTAATTTGATCATTATTAGTTGTAGGGGATTCCTGGAGAGGTGACAACCTATCTGTTACAGGTTCTTTGTTTGTTGCAGAGCTATTCGACCTACATGCATACTATCATTTCCCGTTATATCTTAGCTCAAGGGACCGTGATAATTACTTGGATATGACCATGGAATATATGTTACTTTGAGGGTTTGGGACCATATTTGTATAATATCACACTTCGATATAACTGGAGTTGAGTGAATTTATATAAAAAATTGTACGATTTTTTGCATTATTTGGCAGAATTTATAGAAAAACTGGCAAGGGCTACTAAGATGAAATTCGGTATGTGGGTGTAAGGTGATATATCTAAGGAGATGTCCTAATATTAAACTAATATCTCTACAATTTTCTGAGTTAGGTGACAAAATATCTTGACCTATCAGATTCGAGAGTGCACTAACTATCGCTCGAGGCAAGCACATGGGCCTTCGAAGGTTCCGGAAAGGTGAGATGGTGTGAAAGATATGCTATATGTGTCTGGATGTCTCTTATTGCTATTTAACACACAACTATTCCAAACCTTGTTGCTGTGTTCGCCTTTGATTTGTTCTTAATTATCAGTTTAGAAGGTAGAGTGTCAGATGGTTTCTGTTCCAGTACGGATTTCTTGAAGATTTGTACACTACGTGGCAACGAATTGTGGTCAAAGGATAGTGAAGATGCAATAGGACTCGCGTTACAATCATTTGCCTACAAGAAAGTACAGATTTTCAAAAGTTATATAATAAAAAGTGTTTTTTGCAGAAAAGGTTGCGTCAATTTTTCAGGCATTTGAACTGGGTGCGTACCGTGATAATTTTTGGGGTGTTAGGTCGGCTTCCCTTCTCAGAGGGAGGCTGGGGGAGGAATCTGGAACTATTTGGGGTCTTTTGATTGGACAGGTCACTGGAAATGGAGATTGATTGGACAGGAGGAGGCTCTGCCTGACTGGGAGTAGTTGGGACGGAACTTTCTGGAGTTCTGTCCCTAGGGGGTCGAGTTGGAAACTGTTCCATCAACTGTCTACAAATAAATTCATAATATAATTGGAATACCCTCGAATCTGATAGGCCATGACGTTTTGACACCTATTTCAGAGAGTTTATTATTATTATTATTACCTTGATGTTCTCAAGGCTGTGTCTTTGGCAAGTTTGGCTCTCGTTAATTGTAGTGATAGATCCCTAAACAAATATGTATATAAACAACAACAACAACAACATAACAACAACAAACTCACTTTGCCAGATCAACAGCATCATTTCTCTCATTTTCAAACTCAATTAATGTAATCTGTAATTCTCTAAAAATTGAATCAAAATCACCCCAGCTGGAATATTGTGAAGTATTTGACAATTCATAACCTCACCCCAGAGGGGATGTTCAAAGTTCAAATCCACAAGTAAGGTGCATTGATCCTCTCCTCACATGTATAGGACCAATTTTTACATATTCCAACACTTAGTTCATCAAGTTAGTAACTTACCTTATTTTTATTTTAAGTTTGTTGACGTGAGAATTTTTCTCAGAAATTATTAATAAACTTTCTTCCAACTGTAATCCATCCTAATAAATAATAACAAATTTGAAGAGCTATAAATGTAAATAATAACAATTACCTGTGTTGCTTGAACTAGATTTGTGTGTTTAGATTCAATTGCATTAATCTTCAAGCTTAACTCCTGAAGGAAATCACATTTAATACGAGCATACATGGTCTACTTATGATAGAGACTGTTTGCTGTATATTCATGAAAACAACAATAAATTTTCATATGAGAAACTTGAAAATGGGAAATTCGGATTCAGCGTACTTTGTTGCACCTTGTAGCTGTTAAAAGTAACTCTCCACCAATAAATAATTACACATTTTCGCTAATTTGTTTATTTACATACATAGAAACAATACTAACTCTAAGTTCCTGTTGTTGTTGAAAAATTGTTTGTTGGTAACTTGGCAATAGCTGCAATGCTTGATCCCCATTCATTCTTATTCCAATACGCTGTGCGCCAATTTTGGAAGCTTCACCCAATTCAACATCTCTGCTATATTCACACTAAATATGATAAATGCAAATAAATAGAAGAAATAAACAATTTCTTAATTGGTAAACCCTCAAACCTGATAAGTCAATACATTTTGACACCTATCTCAGAGAGTTTACGAGATATCGCTTAGATAATAGAAGTTCATCCTAGAATAATCACATTCCATATACCTGCCAAATTTCACGTTTGTAACTCCTACCAATTCATCCATGGTTATTTCACGTATTTGAACTATGCATACAAATTCCTAAAATACCTTAGTTACCAATAATACCTTAGGAATGTAAGGGTATATCAGTGATTTGGCTTTTGGAAGCGAATCCTCATCAGTAAAACTCTGAGAATCAGAAGAATCAGGAATTACTCTACCCTGGTTACCAGATGTAGCCTTAGGAATGTCATTCATACTCTTAGAAATTCTATCATCAGGCAGGATTGCATTGAGTATCGCCTTGTCCTCTGGGGTCACAGGAAGTTTGTTCCCCTTCATTCTGTGGCTCAACAATGCACTACGTACCTAGATAAAGCAACAAATAATGTGTTGCAAGTGTGAAAGTGGCAGAGTGGCATAAAGGAGGGTTGCAAAGATCACTGATAGTTACTTTCCCCGGAATCGAACCAGGTAATTACAATTTCCAGTCGTACGTTTTCCCATTAAACTAAAAAGCGAAGTAGTGATCTTCATGGCCTCCTTAAACAACCATAATTTCAAACTATATTTATACAGAAATGTGAAATGTAATCAATTGATGTGGTTGCATAATAAAAGCTAGAACTATTTTCTGTAACCTCGCAAAAAGTTTGCAAATTTGAATGTGGATGGCGTCATTGACACTGAACCAGGGGGGCAGGGGGCTCGTGGAGCATGGAAGCTGTCCAATATCCATGTATAGTTCGTAACAATTTGTAAATGGAGCAAAAAGGAGGGTAGCAAGGATCTCTAGGGGGGTTTCTTTTTAAGGGGTCACCCATGTGTTTCAAATTAAACTAAAAAGCGAAGTAGTGATCTTCATAGCCTCCTTATACAACCATAATTTCAAACTATATTTATACAGAAATGTGAAATGTAATCAATTGATGTGGTTGCATAATAAAAGCTAGAACTATTTTCTGTAACCTCGCAAAAAGTTTGCAAATTTGAATGTGGATGGTGTCATAGACGCTGAACCAGGGGGGCAGGGGGCTCGTGGAGCATGGAAGCTGTCGCAATATCCATGTATAGTTCGTAACAATTTGTAAATGGAGGAAAAAGGAGGGTAGCAAAGATCACTGGGGTTTCTTTTCCAGGGATCGAACCAGGTAATTACAATCTTCAGTTGTATGTTTTTCCAATTAAACTAAAAAGACGAAGTAGTGATCTTCATAGCCTCCTTAAACTGGAATAATTTCCAACTATATTTATACAGCAAGATGAATGATAAATAATCGATGTGGTTGGATAAAAATAGCTTTCATTCGTTGTAAATATTAATGGAATGCCACTAAATAGTCTTGTTCCAAATCCTGAAAAGTGAGCTGGAAATAGTGTGTTAACACCTTCAAAATTCAGGAAATGGAACCAGACTAAAAAGTTCTAAAAGGTGCCAAAATGGAGGGTGGCGCCGATCGTAACAGACCTTTCCGGGAGTCGAACCCGGTTCTTATAATCCTAAGTTATATGTTCTCACCAATAAACCAAAAAGCAGAAGTAGCGATCAGCAAAGCCTCCATACAAATACACTAATTTTCAAATCAGTTATACTACAAGTTAATTCAGAATATATGATGTGGTTGTATAATATATCAATGCAGATCCTCGGATATGATTGAATGAGGGCTTATTGGCCATATCTCGAAGAGGTGTGGAAATAATTTTTACATATTTTTGTACAAAAATAAAATTATAATTGGAAATAGAATTGAACTTACCTTTTCTTTTTTGAGTCGAAGTTGAAGTCTACTGTTCTGATTATTGGCAAACTTCAATTTTCGTTTGAGTTCTCCTTTCATTGCTTTTTCTTGCATCACCGAAGCTTCTAAGTTATTCAATCGGGCAATTACATCTGATTCTACTTCATTACGTCTTGATATACCCGTATTCTCAGTTTGCAGTGCCAAAACACTATCTTCTAACTTTCTTATCCGTTCAAGAGCCATTCCAAGATTACTTGTTTGAAATGGTGGAACTTCAGTGATTATATCTGTGACACTTCTTACACCTGGATATGAGGATGTGCCTATATTCTGGTCAACTGGCACATTATTATGTCTAAACTGGTTCAAACTAATATATGGATCCATTTGATAATATTTCAAAAATCTCGTTCTTATAATATTGTAAATTGCCATATATGGAAATTTTGGTTGGATTCTTTGTTTGGGAATTATGGATCATAATAGCTAGCTATGTATTGTGAGATTTTCAAATACTTATTCGTGAATTACGAGCACTATTTCGCTTCTAGCAAGTGTCTACAGTAATATATTAGGATTTTCACACCTTTTGGCAACAGTCTACTCGGCTTAATAAGGTCACCGATTAACGAGAGTAATTTAACAATATTTGTATGGTTCAGTTTCTGTCCAAGATGGAGTATTAACAATCTCCGAATTAATGAGATTCTCATCAATCGAATGCGCTTATAATTCTAAATTCAGGAGCTTATATATATATATATCACTTCAAAGTTCAATTAGAATACATATTCAGCCTAGAATCCAAACAAATCGACAAACTTGTATAAATCTAGTTGGAAATGAGATAATTGACGGATATTTATTATTACTGATACGCTATTCATGCTTAACTGTCCGTATAATATTCTTACAAATCTCAGTCTCAGATAGGTGTGCAAATATACATAATCTCGGGCAAAGTATATTCATACATATGGGCAAGTTTCTAAAGATTCATATTCGGGAAAATTGTAATTCCATGGCAACCAGATTGAAGAAACAGCCGTGATGGAATGCTGTATTTTAGCGGGGAAAATGAGTTGTAGAGTTACTCAATTTAGCGGTCTTTTAACACCTCTTAGGACAAGTTGTTACCCATTTTGTAATGTGCTTATAAAATAATCAGATGATAAACTAATTGAGTGAAGATGGTTCATAAATACAAACAAGTAAACAAATGAGTAAGCATATTAATCTGTTGTTATGCCCAAATATCTTGAATATATCTCTTAGACTTTAGGAGTTCTTTCAAATAGCTCAGAGCTTCTTCCGGAGTCAATCCTAAACACAAATTTTAAAGATTTTGTCCTGTACACTTGCATGAACAGTCAGGCGATGGTCCATACTTGCCAATTCTACCGGGACCTATCGATTTTACAAGAAATCCAGAGAATCGAGGAAATAATTACATATTTATGTTCCTTTTCTGGGGTAGGACTAGAGATCACAGAGCGAGGAAGCAAGGATGGATATTTGCCTCAATATACTGGCGATTACAATAGGGAAATGAGGTAACGCCCGAAAAAGCGAGGAGGCAACTGCATCCTCTGCCTCAATGCTAGTTACTCCCTAGCTTTTACCAAAATATTTGCCTAAAATTGCAATTTCTGGAGTCAAATTTGGAATCTATGGAATTGTGTGAATATTCTAGTTGTATATGTATACTCTTGTATCTACATTGACTTGTCAAGTGCATTTGAACCACAATAAGTACATGATACCACTTTAGTTGCATAAGAAATTGATTTCACACCTTTTGGTGGGGAAGTTACTCACCTCCAAACTTCTCAAATATCTTTATCCAAGCAGCTCTGACGTCAGGCGCCATATTATTAACATCTCCACATAGATATATAACAGCATTCTCATCCAGTACTAATCTAATTAGCTCATTACCATTTTCTATCATAGAATCTTGCACGTAGTGGTGTTGGTGGTTAGGATCTCTGGAGAAGGCAGTTTCCAGTTTTGTGAGGATGTTATTTGTTTTGAAGTTGTTTAGCTCTTCTCTAAAAGAAGTAAACATAAATAAACAACAACAAATTGTTTGTTTGCTTCTTACTTAAATAGGAAGTCTCCTTCAGAATGCCTGCACCCGAAAAATAGATGAGCACTGCCAAATTGAATGCCTTGGGAATTATTAACCCTCTCTCTAAGAAGTAAACAAATAAACAAACAAATATACAACAAGTAACGAACTGGTAAACAAACTTGCAAACAAACAAATAAACAAACCTGTGCTCCAGAAATCCAATGAAAGGGGCTACACCAGTACCAGGCCCAACCATAATTATCGGCCTAGTTACATCACCTGGTAGATGGAATGTGTTCACCATTCTTGCTATTATTGACAACTCTATCTATTATAAACATCAATTATATATGGAAATAAACTAATAAACAAACTTACTTTTTGCTTAACACCTTGACTGGTGGTTGATGTCATTAACTGGGTTGATAACGTTTTCAACCAGCTTGTACATAATCCATATCTAAAAGTAGCTCATTAAAATGGTGTGAATTTGTGTCAATTACACAGCCACTTATCACCTGTTGTTTGGATGCCAAGGTCTCGTATTTAGATGTACTAAACTGAATACAATCTTTATCGTGTCTTCAGAAGTTAGAGGAGAACTGATAATGAAGGGAATAAACAAATAAACAAACAATCAAACAATCAAACAAACAAACAAACAATCATATTTCTATATAAATAACTGTAAACATAAGGTGCTTACTTGCAAATAGAATAATATCTCGGATTAAGAGGCAGTAGAAATTCTAAAATTACAACAAACAAATAAGCACAAATTATTGATTATTTTACACATCTTAGAGTCACAATGTGTCCTCTAGGGTGTCCGTAGACAAGGTGTCAAAACATAAATATTACCAATTAGTCTGGATAGAGGAGGATTACATGAAGGAAATGTATACAATACATCCATTAGAGTACTTGATTGGTGTCTTATTAATGTCCCATAGTCTGTGGCTCCTATCGGAATAAAGTTAAAATTGTGGAGAAGTTGGAAACTTGTTTCAGCGCTGTCACGTGAATGAATAATTTCAATATATTTACTAACTAACGGGTGAATAGTAGTGACAGACCTCCTTTAACACGCTTAATTAACATATTTAGAATTAGAGTCATTAATATTTCAATGAATTGGACACTTTGTATTATGATAAAGTCATCAAATAATGATATATGAAATGCCATCCGCCCGCATGCTTCGATGTACACCATGTGGAGCTGAAACAAGTTTCTCATTAACAAGGGACTTATATGTGTGTGTGTACCTTCTTTGCTTGACAGTTTCGCTAGTTTATAGCTCTCCTCATCGTCACTAGTGTATTGAGCCAACATCCATAGTAATGACTACAAAGATTAATGCATTAATGGATGAAGGATATCATCCAAAAGGTGCGGAAATATTCACCGTAGGATATTTTAAAATGGAGATTTCCACCAAAATTGTGATACTTCCATATTCCATATCAGATATCAGTTAAATATTAAGTATAGGCTATCTTCATAATGAAAGTATAATACAGTTGCTATGGTTGCTATTGACGTCAGTAGATATGTAGAACTCCAATATATATATATATATACGATTGAATTCTAATCGTATGTCTACCAGCTCTCAACTTAAATAACAGGCAACATTCCTCAAACAGCTGAAGTGAAGTTGACTGTATTTTTAGCAAATACGCGAAAAAATGGCAGAAACGTTCTTGCAACAGGCTAAATATGCAGAAGCGATGGAAAGATACGAAGGTCAGTTGTTATCCCTGCCCCTGGGGACTCCTTTTCTGTCCAAGTTGATTGTGGAACTGATCCAAGGGGGCTGGCTCGGGTCCAGCTCCGATGTTGTGGTGAATATTTTGTTGCATACAAATCAGGTATTTTGAATGTTTCAAAGTGTATTATGATAATTTGATTTTGCAGATATGAGAAAGTTTATGGAGAGTGAATACAGAGTCATGTTTGAAAATAATGGAACGATTCCACCAGAACATAGAAACCTACTCTCTGTCGCTTACAAGAATGTAGTCGGAGCCAAGAGGAGCTCCTGGAGGACAATATGTTCCATCCAAGAGAAAGAAGAGAATGGTCAGGCTAAGAACAAAGACCAGAAACTGACTATCATTAAGGTGAGCAAACTTTTGCAAATACGAGGCACTAGAAAGTTGTCTACTGCATCATATTTGCAGGTTTTCATTTAGAAGGGAGGCGTTCTCCTTAGCTCGCTATTTATATAATATACCTACAGAAAGTTAAGAGTGCTATCGAGGAAGATCTAGACGAAATCAGTAACAGCCTTCTCAACCTGATAGACAGTTATAAGCTATGCAATGCTCATTTTGAGGGTACAGATGATCCAAACTTAGTGTCAAATGTGTTTTACTCAAAAATGTAAGTCAATTATAGAATATTACAGTAGACTCCACTTATAGAGTCACATCGGGACTACTTTTAACCCGATTAACGGAGTAATATAGCACTGCTATTATAGAGTGTAAGATCAATAAGCAGGGGTCTCTATAAATGGGGAAAGTCTGTAAGCGGGCAATTTTGGTCTACTTTCATTCATTTTCATAGAAATAAACCTCTATAAGCGGGAAGTGGGGTATGGAGCTTACTTTAGAGATACTTTTCCCTCACATCATTGAAATTTACTTATATTTGTGGAGAATTCTGCCATAAATTTCTTGAGTATTCAATTTTTGTGCTAATATTGGAAA